TTCATTCACTTACTTATTCGTTGGTTCATTTGCTCATTCAAGCGTCCGTTCATTCATATAAGTGATTCCCTTTGAAAATCGCAATTCATTTCCACTGACAGGAATAACAGCACCCTCAATAAGTTCATTCAGAGGTTCCAGTTTTCTTGGTCAGGAAAATTGCATGGCCTTTACTTTAAGGCTGGAGGTTCAGCACAATCTAGTGATCGTGTTCTCACTCTACCTCTTGGTCACCTTCTGCACCTTTGCCATGAATCTACGTCTTCGAGTCTCCCGCCTGGCACGCTACGCACGTCTCTAAACCACTGTATTCGTGATTCACTCACCCATTTAGGAATTGAGGGAGTGATTCAGAAACGAAGATAGGTGCTCCAACAAAGTATTATCGAGTTTGGTCAGGCAAGAAATCACTCGAAATTGATATCTGCTGCTTGTTTCCTGGATCGCCTTCTGCCGTTCAGCACCAAGCATTCACGATTCATCACAACTATCGAGCGAATTTCCTAGTGAGCAGGGGCGAAATGGATTGTTCTCCCGCATATGAGTTAAGCGGCCAGCAGTCTTCCCGTAGCTTGCCAGACAACTATGATCCAAGAAATGCGCGGCATAGATCAAGACCTGTTCCTTCTCTGACGCAGGTAAGTTGGATGATGTCTATCGCACGGATAGTTTGCACAGATTCGATCTACTAGCGGTCACAGAAGCTGGTTTTCCTGGAAAGGGGACTCTTGACCTGCAGGATTTGTGATAAAGCCGCAAAAGAATATACTCCCCATGTCGATTCAGATATTTACACACAACATTAGCATTGTTAGATAAAGTGATTAAGTATAATGATGATCTCAGTATAGACAACAAACAGATTACTGCATGGAGGAATAATTGAACGTCACAAGTGGTGTTTTTGGGTGAGGCACCGTTTAAACGCTTTTACGAAACAGGGAACTTCTCATCAGTGGAAGAACTTAGCATTCGATCACTATTCACGCAGAGTCGGACTGCGAAAACTCACCCTAACCGCTGTCTTGAGAAAGTATGAACGGAGTATGGGCTCCAAAATAATCGACGTCGATAAGCATGATGGCTATGACCGATAAAATGATGGGAGATTGATCTAGTGCTATAAGCATTCAAATCCCACGTAGGCATCAATAATCGAAATGCCTTCTCCAGCGCAGCTGCGAGCGACGAGCAGTATCGGCGACTTAAAAAGTTAAGTAATTTTTGACTTAACTCAGCATACGACCCCACACGTTTGGTTACTTTGAGTAAATGGAAGTGTTTTGCCTTATTTTGGTGGTAATGTTTCTTGGTTCTATTATTAATTTTTTTATCGTTATATTGCACAAATTTAGGCATCGATCCACTTGGTGAAAGATACCAAAGGACGACCTGAAACGTAGCAATTAAAACGTGTGCCAGTGCAAGACGCGCTCGTGTTCACTTCATCGAACAGATGAGACGTCAGTCAACAGCGTCGCTGGCAGGGAAATGCCATGAACGTGTTCACCAAAGCGATGAACAGGAGACTACTAACTTACTGGAAACGATTCCATGCCAGTCCATGAAGTCTCCCTCAATCACACGTACTGGTGAGGAAGCGACGTTGCACGCATCAACCGCTGAAGTAATTGGTTTAGCCATCATTTCCACTGTGCAATTCAGCAACCCTGGACTCTATCAGTCAGTTTCCTGGTCTACAACTATTTGATGTGCACAGACGACAATGCTTTCCAATGGTATTTTCTACCATTTTATATCGTCATTTTTCAACGCTCGATTGTCGTCACTGTTGACTTGTACTTTTGCTCGCGTCTGGACGTCTGTTTGTAGCATAGATGTCAGAATAAAATTTCAACTCTGTTGCGATTGCACAGCAAAATTCATTGTGTCATATGCCTGGACTAAAACCTGGTACCGATTCTGGGCAACCGATTCTTTAAAAAGTGGACGAAATCATAAGTCAGCTGAAAAACTTGAGCTACAAGAATTTGATGGAACACAACAAGAAATCACCCAGGAGTTTGGAATAAATACTATGCTGTCATTAGTGAACCTTCTTGGATTGGTATGCAGAAGAGAAGATCCGATTGACTGAAGGAATCCACTACACTGCCAATATTTAGGAAAGGTCTTTGAACTAATTATTATGGAATGAAACAACTATTCCTTCCTGCTAACTTACTCATGTGTGTCATGGTCAGCGGGATTGAAAATGTTTTAAAATTTTTGGCGAATGGCAGCATGGCTTCAAAGGGTGCTCAGGTCGCCTGTGTGCAGTGAGGCAATTGGTGGAACGGAAGGAAGAATGGGAATCAGAATTCTTATCAATGCTTATTGATTTCATCAAGGCATTTAACTCAATCTGGAGCAAGACCCTATGGCAAGTTTGTCAGCAATATAGAGTCCATCCAAAGATTATTCGCATATCTAAAAAGGTGCATGACATTTCGAAAAGTGCAGTGATAATTGATACCTGGTTCGGAAATTTCTTTGCCATAGATTTCAGAGTAAAAGATGGGCGGAATCTCTTGTACTGTTTGCCATGGTTCATAACTGAGTACTTCAGCATATACTAAGGAGTAAAGCTGAGACTTTTCAAGAAGGGGCAATATTTGTGTAAACTCTCTTGTATTTGCGGATAATGTCATAATGCTGGTAGAAAACTTCGCAGCTGCGACATCATTGCTCTTAACTCTGAAACAGAGGCATTCCTATACGGATAACTCGATTAACGTCATGATGAAAATTGGTAGAAACCAGATGAATATCTGTCTAAACCATGGCACCGAAATTACGGGATAAGAAGCAAGAAATCGGTATAGTTGAAGTACATTGCCGAAAGATGATCGATAGGCAAACTTGTGAGGCGCATCTGTTAATATCAGTAGTGTCTGAGAAGTTACTGAAGCTCCTGAAGAGCAGAATTATTGGCTTTGGCACTAAGCTGGAGATATACAGGCATACATTCTGAACATCTTGCTTTATGGCCTTGAAAAGACAGCTCTTAACAAATCAGAGCATAGAAAACTGGAAGCGATGGAAATGAAGATTTTAGGATCAATATTTGGCGAATGAAGTGGAACAATCCTGTGTCTAGCGCTGTCGTGTGAGAGGGATTAAGGTATTCGACTAAAGTGGCCGATCGGCTGCAAGTACGGTCTTTATGATTATGGGGCTATTGGCAACGAATGAATAATATCTACATAATAGGCACAAACTGCAAGTAAAGTCTGACGGCAGATGGACGCCAAGAAGACCTCAAACGAAAGGAGAAGACTCGTTAACACCGACATGACAAAGAATAGGCTGAAAACTGTGGGCGCATTTATGAGATCTAGTTGGAATTCTTAGGGAAGTATTGGTGCTTTGTTGCAAATGAATATTAATAAGACGAAGGAAAAGAATAATTCGCCACTAGTGATGAAAAAACAAGAAAGTGTTTCTCAGATGCTCGCTTGCCTGAAACACTTCTAGTCAGGTTACAGACGGCAATTGCTGGGTTCTGATTTCGGAAACGCGGTCATTAAAACTTTGTAAAAAGAAAGTCTCTTACGCATATGGCGTCGGCATGCTTCCTTGATTTTGTAAAATGGAACTAAAGAAGCATTTGAGCGAACGATCTTCGACATAGATATTCAGTTGATGCTAATTTCCTGTTGAAACTGCCGGATCATTTTCATACAGGTTCGGAATCCATACAGTCGTTATCGAAATGAACGATCATCGACCAGAAGCACCTATTTTTTTACTAACATTAGAGAGTAGAAGCGAGTTGGTAAATTGGATCGACTTCACATAAAATGGTAGCCACTTTTCGCTGCAGAAACTTGAAGATGCTTTGGCAACATGCCTGAGGATCCGCGAAAATGAGTGATGCAGTAAAATTTGCACCCATTGTCCTCCAGGTGGAATTTCACTTCTGCTTCACACAGGAGCAAGTGTTCAATGAACCAGACACTCCGTAGTATATTGGTATCGAACGACAGTATCAAGCTATAGCCGTTAACTGCCCCTCCTTAGACTTTGCTGTAAGGTAAGCTTCGGTGAGCAACTTTGTGTTTGCCCACGCCTCGAACATCACTGTGACAGCACCCAATAACGAATCAAGCA